TTTGAGCCGACATGTTGGCAGGCAGCGGTAGTTCCCAAACGAATGCCGATAGTTCGATTCGAAAAACAGCAAAATCAATCCCTCCAAATTCATTTTGATGATAAATTCGTAGTAGAAAAATGAAAAAAGAACAGGATTTTGAATCGTGACAGACTCTACTCAACAGTTATAACACCAGCTCCCAGGCGCTGTAACATTCTTCGCTTTCCATAAAACCCCGTTAAAATTACCAAAAGTGTCGTACTGACGAGATCCAGTTTGAGGAGTTGCGGAAAATGTATATGAATTAATGGACCGAAACATTTCTTTTTGGTTATTCAAATATCCTGCTTTTTCATTTTCATGCTTTCCGGTGCATTATTTTAAATCGAATAATTGTAATTAACAACACTGTTGTCATCTTCATCATTGTTGTTACAAATAATCATTACTGTCATCATTTATATTATTATTACTGCTGTTATTGGTACTATTACCAGCATTTTACTATTACTGTTACTATTATCATTATTACTGCTACTACTATTGCTATTGTTACTACTATTATTATTACTGCTATTATTATTATTATCATTATTATTATTGTTACCATCATTATTATTATTATCATAGTTGCTACTATTACTACCATTATTGTTAGTATTATTATTATTATTATTATTATTATTATTACCATTATTGTTGCTGCTATTATCACTATTATTACTACTATTATTACTAACATTATTATTACCATCATTATTACTATTCCATATTGTTATTGTGAAGAGTTAGTCAAAACAAGTGAACTACAGCTACTGGTCTGGAGACAGTGCTTCCAAATTTCAGCTTCCTATCTTTTGTAACTGAATCACAGGAAAACATCGGTAAATACCTACTTTTTAACTTATGCAAAAATAGCAATAAAACAAACCGCAACTTGGACTGAGTGGTAGATGCGCGAGAGCGGCGAGCAGCAGAGCGGCTACTGGATCGGCTGGCTCATGCTCCTCGAGCACGTCGCTTAAAAAGCCCAGAAGTGGCCCACGCCAGAGCAGCTTCGCATCGGGCCCAAATGTGAGGCACGTCACGTCAAAAAGATCCGGAATTTCAGCTTCCTCCATTACATTCGCAGGCGATGCATGCCATTCACACCCAATTGTTTCACGTGATTGCTCATATAAAAACGGCTGAAACTGGGAAACTAATACACTCTCTGTAGTGGACAAGCCGTTTGTAGCATCTAGGTTGACCTTAAATGCCAAAATGTGAAAGACGTGCAACAATTCTTACACCTCACTAAATTATATTGTTAACACAGTCATCGTACTGACGTGGTCCAACTGTGGTAACGGTAAAAAATGTATACGACTTAATGGACCGAAACATTTCTTACCTATTTTAATAATTCTTTACAACCCTTTCATC